TAGCCGGTAACATCTATAGTTAGGAAAAAACAGAATCCTTCCTTTCTTCCTTTCACAAATTGGCAGGGGAGAGTACCACGTAGAAAAGTTAGTAGAAGCAACTCTAAAGTCTTCTGGCCACTTGCACCTTAGGCAACCCTATCCAAATCAGTCATATTTTCTTTACTCATATTGCATAAAAAGACCAGAATCCCCCTCTACAATAAAGACCCCATGAACTCTTGAGCACATTTTCTAACAGCAAACCATACAAACATAGAAACACCCAAACACTGACATACAAGCAAAAACACACCCACAATAGTGTTGTTTTTAATCATCATGATTTCATCTTCCTTGGAGAATATATATATATGTGTGTGTGTGTATATATATATATATATATCAGTGAGATTGCTAGATCATATGGTAGTTCTATTCTTTTTTTTTTTTTTTTTTTTTGTCAAGGAAGTCCTAGTATTAGCTTTGTACAAACTTGCAGATAAGTCCCTACTTAGGCCCTTCCTCCCCCATACAATGAGGACATACTACATGGTCTCTGACAAAGTGTAATACTGTGATGACAGAACCACTTCCAGGTCATCACAAGACTTCAGTGCCCAGCAGATCCAAGGCTGAGGCTCTTGGTAAGACCTCTTGAGACTTGGAGGCTCTCACATGCATCTGCAGAGTTCAGCCCAGGCCCCTTACGTTTGTGTCATCCTTGAATGGAAAATGGATAATGAGCTGCCAACTGCAGACCAGCCCAGGAATACTTCAGATGGTCCAAGTACAAGGATAGTGTCCCTGGCTTACTCCATCAAAAGGGAGTAATACTCAGTGGAGCCATCCCAGGGCTTGACTCAACAATGCCTAGCTCCCACTCACTCTAGAAGTCAGCAAGGAACACACCTGCTCTCTTTCCATTTGTTTTTCCCTCAGTGTTGGGGTCCTGGGTCCCTGGAAGTCTCCCAAGTTTCTGAGCAAACTTCTTTGCCTTTCAAAGCTGTCCAACCATTATCTTCTGTCCTCCAGCTTGGCAGTCACTGGAGCTATTGCTTTTCTGCCCCTTTAAATAGGGATAAGAAGAAAGACAATGCCCACTACCCTGTTTCGACTGTCCACATCACACCCCAGCCTACTCTTCCACCATAGTTCCTCTGGTTTTATTAAAGCTCACAAAAGGTCCACCTTCTGTGAAGCCTCCTTTCATAGCCTCTCTCATCTGGGCACCCTGATGGTGGCATTAGCATGTAATGTTCTGTCCAAGATGCAAATTGCCAAGTGTCGTCTGGTGCATTCTACACATCACAAACCTGTTTCCTTTCGAACCTGCTTTTCACAGGAACTCTACTTCTTTTCCTTTTTTTTTCTTTAGAGTTATATGTTGCATATAGCAAATGCATAAACCTTAATTTTATACTTCAATACATTTTTAGGCATGCAAGTCATCACCCAGATCAAGCTATACAAGATTTCCATCATTCTGGAAGGTTCCTTTGTATTCTCTTCTCTCTTCTTTAAAATTTTCCAATATTTTATCAGGCAATTTTTAAACTACAATACAGTTCAAAGAATTATATAGTTACTTAACCTTTTCCAAAACATCGAAAAAGAAGGAATAATTCCCAACACATTCTATGAAGCGAATATCACCCTGATCCCCAAACCAGGAAAAGACCCAACAAGAAAAGAAAATAATAGACCAATATCTTTAATGAACAGATGCTAAAATATTGAATAAGATCCTAGCAAACAGAATCTAGCAACATATCAAATGAATTATACACCATGACCAAGTGGGTTTTATCCCAGGATCTCAAGGTTTGTTCAATATATGTAAATCTATAAATATGACACATAACATAAACAAACTAGAAAACAAAGACCATTATGATTCTCTCAACAGATGCAGGAAAAACTTTTGACAATATCCAGCATCCTTTCATGATCAGAACACTTAAGAAAATAGGTATAGAAGGGACTTCTCTCAAACTGATAGAGGCCGTCTACAGCAAACCCACAGCCAATATCATATTGAATGGAGTAAAATTGAAAACATTTCCACCCAGATCAGGAACCAGGCAAGGTTGCCCTTTGTCACCATTGTTTTTTAACATTGTAATGGAAGTCTTAGCCATTGCAATCAATCAACAGAAGGTGATCAACGGTATACAAATAAGGTCAGAAAAGATCAAACTTTCACTCTTTGCAGATGATATATTTTATACCTGGAAAACCCCAGCGACTCAACTACAAAATTCTTAGAAGTGGTCAAGGAATACAATAATGTCTCAGGATACAAAATACTCACAAATCAGTAGCTTTTATATATATGAATAATAGTCAAGCCAGAAAAACAGTCAAGGACTCTATTTTTTTAAAGTTGTGCCAAAAAAGATGAAATATTTGGGAATATACCTAACAGAGGATATGAAAGATCTCTAAAAAGAGAATTATTAAACTCTGAGAAAAGAAATACCTGAAGATGTTAACAAATGGAAAAACATACCATGCTCATGGCTGGGAAGAATAAACATTGTTAAAATGTCCATATTACCCAAAGCAATTTACAAATTTAATGCAATCCCTGTCAAAGCACCACCATCATACTTTAAAGATATGGAAAAAATAGTACTTCGTTTTATATGGAACCAGAAAAAACATCAAATAGCCAAGACATTACTCAGAAATAAAAACAAATCAGGAGGAATCATGCTACCAGACTTCAAACTATACTATAAATCTATAGTGATCAAAACAACATGGTACTGGCACAAAAATAGAGAATTAGATGTATGGAACAAAATTGAGAACCAAGAGATGAACTAAGACACTTAACATCATTTGATCTTTGATAAGCCCATAAAAAAATAAATTGGGGGAAAGATTCCCTGTTTAATGCATGGTGCTGGGAGAACTGTCTGGTAACTTGCAGAAGACTGAAACTGTACCCACACCTTTCACCTCTAACAAAAATTGACTCTCACTGGATAAAAGATTTCAACTTAAGACATGAAACTATAACAATTCTTAGAGAGAGTGCAGGGGAAACACTTAAAGAAATTGTCTTGGAAGAATACTTTATGAGGAAGACCCCCCCCCCAGGCAACTGAAGCAACACCAAAAATACATTACTGGGATCTGATCAAACTAAAAAGCTTCTGCACAGCCAAGAACACAGTAAGTAAAGCAAGCAGACAGCCCTTAGAATGGGAGAGGCTATTTTCAGGCTATATTTCTGACAAAGGTCTGATAACTAGAATCCACAGAGAACTCAAACTTATTAATAAGAAAAGAACAAGTAATCCCATTTCATTGTGAGCAAGGGACTTGAACAGAAGCTTCTCTGAAGAAGATAGGCACATGGCCTATAGACACATGAAAAAATGCTCACCATCTTTAATCATCAGAGAAAGGAAAATCGAAACCACTTTGAGATGTCATCTAACTCCAGTAAGAGGGGTTCACATAACAAAATCCCAAAACTAATCAATTAGGGATCTAAAAATAGACACGCCATTTGATCCTTCAATTCCTCCACTAGGTATATATCCAGAAGACCAAAAAATCACTTTATAACAAAGATATTTGCACCAGAATGTTTACTGCAGCCCAATTCATAATTGCCAAGTCATGGAAGAAGCCCAAGTGCCCATCAACCCATGAATGTATTAATAATTTGTGGTATGTATACCCCATGGAATATTATGCAGTCTTTAAAAAGATGGAGTATTTACTTCTTTCACGTTTACATGGATAGAGCTGGAACATATTCTTCTTAGCAAAGTAGTATCTCAAGAATGGAAGAAAAAATATCCAATGTACTCAGCCCTACTATGAAACCAATTTATAGCTTTCATATGAAAGTTATAACCCAACTATATCTCAAGAAGAAGGGGAAAGAGGAGAGGGAGGGGAGGTGGGAGGATAGTTGGAGGGAGGGTAATTGGGGGTTACAGCTATGGTGCATTTTACAAGGGTACATGTTAAATTTACTAAGTGTAGAGTATAAATATCTGAACACAATAACTAAGAAAATGCAGTGAAGTCTATGCTAACCAGTTTTATGAAAATATTTCAAATGGTATATAAAACCAGTACATTGTACCCCATGATTGCATTAATGTACACAGCTATGATTTAATAAAAAAAAATTCCAAAACTACAGATGTTGGCGTGGATGTGGAGAAAAGGGAGCACTTCTACACTGCTGATGGAATGCAACCTAATATGTTCCTTTTGGAAAGAAGTTTGGAGAACACTCAGGGAACTAAAAATAGACATGCCATTGGATCCTGCAATTCCTCTACTAGGAATATATACAAAAGACCAAAAATCACTTTATAACAAAGATATTTGCACCTGATTGTTCATTGCGGCTCAATTCATAATAGCCAAGTCATGGAAGAAGCCCAAGTGCCCATTGACCTATGAATGGATTAATAAATTATGGTATATGTATACCATGGAATATTATGCATCCTTAGAAAAAGATGGAGACTTCACCTCTTACATTTACGTGGATGGAGCTGGAACATATCCTACTTAGTAAAGTATCTCAAGAATGGAAGAAAAAATATCCAATGTACTCAGTTTATTGGATAGTACTCAGTACTATTATGAAACCAATTTACAATCACTCACACTTTCATATGAAAAATAGATCACAACTATGGCCCAGGATGAAGGAGGGAGGAGGGGAAATGGGAGAGGAGGGGGGAGGTCAGATCGAGGGAGGGTGAATGATGGGATCACAACTATGATGCACAATGCAAGGGTACATGTCAGATCTATTAAGTATTGAGTATAAATGTCTTAACACAATAATTAAGTAAATGAGATGAGGTATATATCATCCAGTGCGATGTAAGTGCTTCTAATCCTATATGAAATCAGCACATCGTACCCCATAAATGCATTATTGTAAACATGATCTATATGTTTATGATTTAATAAAAAAAAAAAAGAATTATATAGTGATCATCCACACACCAACCTCATACATTTTCTTCTTACTCACATGTAGGGAATTTGTTCATAGGGAGGCCACAAGTTTTGTGCCCCTCATCACAATGATCCCAGATTCCTGTTGGGTGTGTTATAGGTAGTTCTATTCTTAACTTTTTACAGAACTATCTCACCATTTTCCATAATGGCTATACTAGTTTACATCTCACCGACAGTGTTCACAGTTTCTCAGATTTGCATCCTTTCCAGCTCTCATAATATATCATCCTTTTAGTAACAACCATCCCAACAGGTGTGAGATGATATTTCATTATGGTTTTGATTTGCATTTCTCTGATGATTCCTGATGTTGAACAATTTTTCATACACCTGTTGGCCATTTATATCTTTCAAGAAATGCCCATTCAAATCCTCACCTCTAAAAAAACTCATTTGTTTTCTTTTGTGTTGTGTGAATTCCTTATGTATTTCAGATACAAAATCCTTACCAGATGCATGGTTTGCAAGTATTTTCTCCCATCTTGTAGCTCTCTTTACTCTGTTTTCCTTTGAACACAATTGTTTAGTTTGATATATCATTTGTCAATTTTTTGTTTTGTTGCAAATCTAAAAAAATCATTGCTAAGGCCAATGTCAAGGAGCTTCTTTAAGTTTACTTCTGGGAGGTTGCAGTTTAGGTTTTTAATCCTTCTGGGGTTGGTTTTTGTGTGTGGTCCAATTTTATTCTTTAGCATGTAAATATCCACTTTTCTCAGCACCATTTATTGATGAATCCCTTTCCCCATGGTGTCTTGATGCTCTTGTTCACAATTAGTGGCTGTCAATTCATAGGTTTATTTCTGGGTATTGTATTCTGTTGCATTAGTCTGTGTCTGTTTTCACGCCAGTAACTTACTGTTTTGATTACTGCAGTTTTGTAGTAGATTTTGAGATGGAGTAGTGTGATAACCTCCAGCTTTGTTATACCCTGGATTACTTTGGCTGTTGGGGTCTTCTGTGGTAACATATAAATTATGGAGTTTTTCTCTATTTCTGTGAAAACTGTCATTACTTTTTGTCAGGGATTGCATTGAATCTGCAGATCACTTTGGGTAGTATAGATGTTTTAACAAAATTTTTCCAGTCTATGAATATGGTATCTTTCCATTTATGTCTTCAATTTCTTTCAACAATGTTTTATAGATTTCTTTTAGGGATTTCCAACATGTCTTATTTTTTGCCACTCATTGGAAGAATAAGAGTTATCTGGGGCTGCACATTAAATACACAAACAATAATGAAATCTGATAAGCATGAAAAATGGTCTTGGCATACTTTTCATGATATCTGACAAGATAAGCAAACCAGTCCTCAAATAATCCACATGTAGCCCACAGGCTGCAGGCTGGACATGCCTGTCTCTAGATTATTTAACTCTGACTTTTATTGCTAAGTTTTTTTTTATTTATAATGCTATTGTAAATGGGATTGTTCTCTTCTTTTTCATTAAGTGAACTGAAAACCTACTTGTGTGTTTCTATGTCCTGCAACTTTACTGAAGTCACTTATTCTAGCAGTTTCTTAGCGAACTCCTTTGTGTTTTCTATATATAAGATCACCAGGGGTCTCTGAGTTTCTCCAAGATCCTTGAGCTGTTCAGTAGACCTGGTCTGTCACTGAAAAGAACTAGCAAGTTCTGCTAAGTTAAAGTGTTACAGGAGGAGTGGGAAATGAAATGGCCAAGCTCCAATGCCGAAGAAAGGAATACAGTTTACTTAAAGCATAGGGAAGCATAGACTTTTCCATTAAGATTGGAAAAGGGTCTCCGTTGGGAGTGAGAGGAGACCCTGACCCAAAAACAGTACACGGGTGTAAGTACTTCATCCTAGCTCCCCCTACAATTACCTGTAGGAATTTTTCATTAGTACCCCAAGTTCCTTAGGTATTCTTGCCTATTTCTTATTGGTCAAGGGTTACCTTAGCTACTGCATGCACTCCATTTCCCTTTTGTGTTAATAATAATACCTGATATTTCCAGGTATGTGTTTGGTGGTGACTGGTAGTCTTGTGAAATGTGTGTCATCTTCTCTGTGCTCTGTACTGAAACTGTGACCATTGTTGCACTTCATGTCACAAGCTAGAAACTGCACTTTGTGGAAAACAGGACGTACTTGATCAACCAAACCACAAGGTCCCTGAAACTCATTGTTTGCTGCAGGGCCCTTTTTTAACCTCCTCGCCTAAAGGTCAAATTTTCTCCTACTTCCCTATAGCCCCGCTTTGTCCCTAATCAAGGGTGATGTCTTCCTTCTATCAGATTTGGATGCTTCAAGGTTTTTTTCTCTTCACTGCTCTGACAATTAGAACTTATACCCTCTCACCACCTCTATTCAACATCTTTGTCTTGCTACTGATAGTAGAGAAAAGCTTTCAGTTTTTCACCATAGAGCATTACCCTAGCTGTGGATTTGTCGGATCTATGGCCTTTATTGTGTTGAGGTCCATTCTTCTGGTTCCTCATTTGAGGGTTTTATCATAAAATGATATTATCATAAATTGTGTCAAATGTTTTAGAAGCATCTATTGAGATGATCATGAGTTGACCATATATTTTGTTTTTGTTTTTCTTCAACAGAGTCTCATTCTGTCATCTAGGCTAGACTACAGTGGCATCATCATAGCTAACAGCAACCTCAAACTCCTAGGTACAAGGGATCCTCCTATCCTAGCCTCCTGAGTACCTAAGACTATAGGTGCCTACAATGATGCCTGGTTACATTTTCTATTTTTAGCAGAGATGCATTCCGCAGGGCATTCTCCCAGTTCAGACTCCCAGAGTGGTAGGAATAAAGGTATGGCTTTGAGTGGGTCCTAGAAAGAAGTCTGTGCGACAAGTGTAGACAGGAGACAGCCTAAAACCTGTTACCAGAAGGTACAATGGTTGGTGTCTGAAGCAGATGAGGTTCTTATACAGAACTATTGACAGGAAACTGTAGACAAATCGACAACACAGACTGAGATTCTGAGGCCAAACAATGCCATTTCTGCAGAGAAGCGTTTTCCATTAGTGACACTGCTACTAGTCTGCAGTAGAGATTGAACCCTTGCTTGCCCTTGAGTAGGCAAGTTACCCTGTGACATGAGCTGCCCATATGAACTTGGTGTAGACTGATCAATCAAATATCACTTGTGCAAGGCCAGCTGTTCCTCATCCTCCAATAATAATGTTTTACATAAGATTTAGCAGGCAAAATTATGACCTCCATAAGATGTCCATATCCTGATTCTCAGAACCCATGGATATGGTACCTTATGTGGCAAAAGGAATTTTGCAGTTGTGATTAACTTCAGAATCTTGGTGCAGGGAGATGATCCCTGAACGTCAAGGTGGGCCCACTGTAATTACACAAGGGCCTTATAAATGAAAGAGGGAGGCAGGAGGACAAGAGTCAGAGAAGAGAAGACACAAGCAGATCTTAGAATAATGTGCTTGCTGGCTTTGAGGATGGAGGGGTGGGAATCAAGGAATGCAGGAAGCCTATAGATACTTGAGAGAATATAAGAAAAGGGATTTTTCCTGGAACCCCCAGAAGGGGCACAGACTGGATGACAATAGACAGTAGTCTAAGGAGATGCATTTTGGACCTCTGACATCTAGAACTGTTAGATAATGAACCTGTATAATCTTAAGACTCTAAACTTGTAATATTGGCCAGAGTAGCAATAAGGGGCCCCCACACTGAATATCAGCTTTATGATATTCTGTGTGCCACAAACTCAAGGTTTCCTTAAATTTGGTCAGTAATGTATTTCCATGGTCAGGCACATTGCACAACTCAATAAATATGTTTTTATGCTTGGACAGGGTGGGGTTAAGACAAAGAAGACAATCTGAAACTTCTGCAGAGAGCCTGTTGTATACCCAGTCCTGGGGAAATGAGAAACAGGCTTCTGGTAAAGGGGCAGTTCCTCTTCCTGTGGGACTGCTGTTGTGACAACCCATAAGAGGGAGGCCCCAGCTTCACCCTGCCCACACCCTGTGTGTTTGTCTGTCCTGCAGGCACCCAGGTCTCCTCCATCTACACAGATGGGGGCAGTAGGAGGAGACACCATGACCACCATTCTCACAGCCCTGCTCTGCCTTGGTGAGATGTGAGGAAGGGTAGAGGAGACCCTGGTCTTGGAGGGATGCCACCTCACAGCCAGACTTTACTGGGAGACCCCAGGGGCTCAGGAGGCTCCTGGAGTGGAAGGGTTGTGCTCCCCCTTCAAGGGACAAATAACTCACAGGGAACTCTCTTCCAGGACTGAGTCTGGGCCCCAAGACCTGCGTGCAGGCAGGTGAGTCTTTCCCCATTGGCCCCAGGTCCCAAATAGAGAGAATGTGCCACCTGTGGGCCTCTGAGGACAGGGGACACCATCTCTAGACTGATTGAGAGGAACATCTGGAAGGTCCTGGGCTGAGAGCTGGGATCTGAGGGGTGGGGGTCTCTTGGGACCCAGCCTCTGATTTCCATCCAGGAATCCTGCCCAAACTGACCCTCTTAGCTAAGCCAGATTCTATGATAAGCTGGGGGAGCCCTGTGACCATCTGGTGTGAGGGGACCAGAGTACCAACTGGATAAAGAGGGATGCTTAGAGCCCTGGGACAGAAAGAAACCACTGGAGCATGAGAATAAGGCCAAGTTCAACATCTCATCCATAACTGAGCACCATGCAGGGCAGTATCACTGTTGCAACTATAACTCTGCTGGATGGTCAGAACCCAGTGATACCCTAGAGCTGGTGGTGACTGATGACAGGACACTCAGAGGTCCTAGGTCTAGGCTCTGTCCCCAGGAAAAGGTTCTGCTCTTAGGGATGTCTCCTTCTCATAGCCCAGCCCTAGGGTGATGTGGGAGGTATGAGCCCCATTTAACATGGCTGCCTCATTCTCTCCCAGGATTCTATGGTAAACCCACCCTCTCAGCCCTGCCAACTCCTGTGGTGACTTCAGGAGGTTCAGTAACCCTCAAGTGTGCATCATGGCCAAAATTTGACAAGTTTATTCTGACTAAGGAAGGAGAAAAAAACCTGTCCTGGACCCGGGACTCACAGCAACCCTTCTATGGGCAGTTTGAGGCCCTTTTCCCTGTGGGCCCCGTGACCCCCGGGCACAGTTGGATGTTCAGATGTTATGGTTATCACAGGAACACTCCCCAGCTGTGGTCAGAACCCAGTGACCCCCTGGAGCTCCTGGTCTCAGGTGAGGAGGTTTCATCTACCTTGTTCATTTTTTAAGACTTCAAAACTGCCACTGTGAGCCTTGCTTCCTGGAAGCCCATGGGGAGGGGAGATGAGGGAACAAGGGCTCTGGAGCCAGAGACCCTGAGACTGAGACACAGTGAGACTTGCAGGGTCAGCACAGGACACTAAGGAGTTGGCAGGAACCAGCACATACAGCTCATACAGCTCACGGCTTGTCCTTCCCCCCAGGAGTGTCTGGGAAGCCCTCCCTCCTCGCCCCTCAGGGCCCTATCCTGGCCCCTGGACAGAACCTGACCCTCCAGTGTCGCTCTGATGTCGGCTACAACACATTCACACTGACCCAGGATGAGGGACGTATCCTCACCCAGCGCCCTGGCTGGCAGCCCCAGGCTGGGCTCTCTCAGGCTGACTTCCCCCTGGGCCCTGTGAGGGGCTCCCACGGGGGTCAGTACAGATGCTATGGTGGATACAACCTCTCCTCTGAGTGGTCAGCCCCCAGTGACCCCCTGGACATCCTGATCTCAGGTGAGGAGCCCAGTGGGTTCAGTCAGGGACCCAGACTCTGCATAGTCCCTATAGGGGGGAGGGGGCAGGGAGAGATGGCTGGGAAGAGGTGGGGGTCTAAGAGAGGGAGAGGGACAGAGACACAGAGGTAGGTGGGGAGGAGACTTAGACACATGGAAACAGGGACATTGAAGGTGTAGAGAGAGAGAGGCCCTGGGAAGTGTCAGCTCAGAACAAGGTGGGGGCCGCCCTCACCTCTCCTTCCTTTCTGTAGGACAGCTCTTTCACAGAATCTTCATCTCGGTGCAGCCAGGCCCTGTGGTGGCCTCAGGAGAGAATGTGACCTTTGTGTGCCAGTCACACAGCCTGACAGACACTTTCTTTCTGGCCAAGGAGGGGTCAATCAATCCCCCCCTGCGCCTCAGATCAAAGTTCGGAGCTGGACAGTACCAGGCTGAATTCTCCATGAGTCCTGTGACCTCGGCCCATGGAGGTACCTACAGGTGCTATGGCTCACGCAGACGCTCCCTCTACCTGTTGTCACTGCCCAGCAACCCCCTGGAGCTCGTGGTCTCAGGTGAGGACCCCTGACCCTACCCTCTCCAAGCTCATAGGGTCAGCTCAGGCCCCTGCCCCAGGAAAGCCCTGGAGTAGGAAGGGGTGAGAGGCTCTGGGGGAGGGTCAGGCAGGGGACTCACCCCTCAGAGAGGAGGAGGCCAAGAGGGGCCTCCCAAGTCCCCTCCCCCTCTCCCATCACCTGCATTGGGAAGACAACAGGTAGGTGCAGGGCGGGTGTTGAGGAGGCCACCAGACAGATGTAAGGGGGTAGTCTGAGTGATGGTGGGGGCTCCAGGGGTAGCAGCACCCCGACACCCTCCCTTTGTTAATTCCAAGGATCCTCTGTGCAGCTCAGCCCCTCACCCACAGATCAGACCTCTATATCTGGTGAGTCCCAGGGGTATCTCAGCGCAACCCCACCCCAGGGGCGCCCCAGTCCCTCTCCCAGTTATTATCTTTATTCCCAGCACCCTCTATGCACCTGAGCCCCTGACCTACAGGGCCCACCTCAGCACCTGGTAGGTCACTACAATATCTTGTCTCACAGGGAGCAAGCCCTCCCCAGGGCAGTTCTGAGATTCTCAGGATCTCCTTCCTCTCAAATGCTCAAGGATGGGCTGTGTCCTAGGACTGGGAGTCAGGGAGAAATGTGGGGGACTCCAGGTTCTTGGGGGTGCTAAAGCTGTGAGGGATGGTGGTCCAGGCAGGAGAAAGGTAGGACCCAGCCTTGGGGAGGGACTGGCTGCAGTGGGGAACAGACAGTTCCAGCCCCTGAGCTCCCCATCCTGACCCAGGACGCCAAAAGATGACCCCTTACTCCCACAAAGTCAGGCTCCAGGGTGGCAAGTGGGGGGCTCTGAGTTGGAGGTTGCAGGCCCAGGGAAGGCAGGGCTGAATTGTGCCAATGATTCAGGTTCCTCTGGGGACAAGAACATGGACAACCCCTTCCCAGCTAGAACCCAGTTTCTTCAGGTGTGAAGGGGAGAGGCCTGGCCCAGAGGACAAAGCTTCCCCCAGGTCTAGCTTCTGCTGTAACCTCCTGGGAGAGGGGGCCCCATAGAAGCCTCCAGTAAGAGGCCCAGCAGTGGCTTGTCCTACCTGCTGCCATCACACTGGCCCTGTGCAGGGCAAGGAGTAGGGCTGTGATGTAGGGTATGCAGGTTCTGCCCTTCAGCTCAGGGTCAGTTCTGGAGGATGGAACAGAGCTGCAAGTCAGCCTCCGGGGTCACTTTCTAGCTCTGCCACCTCCTGGCTGGGCACCCTGGGCAGAGACTCACCTCTCTGGGCCTCAGTTTCCTCCTCTGAAATGGAGGGGCTATCCCCATGTTGCACAATGGGTGAGGGCTGGAGGTGATGATGCAAAGCCCCTGCAAGCACCTGCACACAGTAGGTGCTCAGGTAATGCCATCATTCCTCACTCCTGAAGTCACTTGTACCCAGAGCCCAAGAAGGTTCCTGGAGGCTCTGATCAGGGTGTCGGTGGCCTTCACCCTGCTGCCCTTCCTCTCTTTTCCTCCTCCTATACTTGTATCAGGCAAACACAGGTTGTTGGGTGAGTAGGGAACAAGGGACCTGGGGTGGCAAGGGTGGGTTCTGGCACAAGCCACAGGGATCCAAACAGATGGGGCGGGTCAGCATAGAAAAGATGTTCCAGTGTTTCCACAACAGGATGCTCTGGAATGCACAGACACCACTCACATGCCCGGGTTTAAGCCTTGCAGAGCTGAATGGGCTCCTGCAGTGTGTGCAGCATCTGTGCAGGGGTATCCCCAGGTCCCCCTATCTCTTCAAACTCCTCTGCAGGGTGGGGGCTTCTAAACCTTAGGGCTGAGACTCTGTCCATTCCCTTCCAGTCCAGAGAGAAGCTGATCCCCTAGGCCTACAGCAGAGGTAATTCTGCCTGAAGACCCTAGACTGCACCCACCCACTGCCCCTCACTGGGGGCCTCCTCACTGCCCCTCACACTCTGTGTCCTCCCCCAGGTCCAGTCCAGCTTCTCAAGTCCAGGAAGAAAACCTCTGTGAGAGGAAAGGGACCCTTGGGGAGGGAGGGGTGACAGGAACCCTGAAGGTTCAGTAGCACTATGGGAGGAGCAGGCTGGGAAGGGTCTGGGCTCAAGGGGAGATGGACTGAACTCCCCACTGGGGACCATGGAGAACATCCCAGCTGCTCCCTGAATCCCATGGCCCCATCTCAGAATAGGGCAGAGGACAGTGGGACTGAGGTCCCTGAGGACAAATTCCCTCAATCTTCCCCAGCAGATGCTGTCATGAAGGACACTCACAAGGAGGATGGGGTGGAGCTGGAGAGTCAGGTGAGATTCCTGTCCCTGTCCAGGGTTCCAAAGGCCTCCTATGATCACATTTGATGCACAAGACGCTCACCTGTCCTCTCTTCCCTCAGCTCAGCATTGTCCCACAGGGGACCCCTCCCCCTGCCTGCAGTGCCCTCATTGCCATCTGGTTTCCTATTACTTTGGGTCCCCTTCTTTCCAGCTCCCTGTCCTGTCTGATGTCTGGGTGTCAGAGAGTACCCCCAGCCTCAGAGGCTGCATGAGTTACTGAAGCACCTGAATCCCCAGGTCCCCTTCATTAATTCATCCCAATGTTCACAGGGAGCTCAGACTTGATCAGGCTGGTGGGGGGTGGGATCTGGGGAGGGCTGCAGCCACAGCAAGGAGCACAGCTGCTCCACCCTTCCTGCACTCTCCTGGCAGGAGACAACAAGCAGGTACATGCTCCTGAGAGCCAAGGTCCATTAGGGAAATCAAGGGAGAAAAAGGCAGAATCTATGGGGAGGAGGACCTGTCTGGGTTAAGAGGGGAGGGCTGTCTAATCAAATGTCCTCTGAGAAGGAGCCTAGAAGGAAGGGACCACAGGGACACCCAGTACACAAGCACCTACAGCAGAGGAAACATGGCAAGAAGATGGGCCTATGGCTGGAGCCAAATGAGCAGGGTCAGGGTGTGTGGACAAGAGGTCAGACTTCAGGAAGGAAGCAGCCAGGCTCTTTGAGGCCCTAGGAAGTCCCCAGAGAGTCTGTCAGGAAAGTGACATAGTTGGTCACTCTGGGAACAATGTGGAAACTTAACAAAGTGGTGTTGAGTGGCATCAAGAAGATCCCATCACTGTCTCCAGCAGAGCCCACATGACATGGACCCCCAGGGAGTGATGCAGGCCTAAGAGAACCACTCCACAGTCAGGTAGGGAGAGGCCTCCCCTCCTTCCCCACTGTCCAGAGAATTCCTGGACATGCAGGACAGACAGATGGAAGGGGTCAGGCAGGTGGACAGAGAGGAGGAGGGTCTTTCCTCTCTAAGCCCTCAGGGCTCCCCCAACCCCAACCACATACCTTCCCTCTCACTCTCCCCCCCCCCACTGCAGGATGCTACATCTGATGACCCCCAGGATGTGACCTACACCCAGCTACACAGCTTGACCCTCAGGCAGGAGACACCTGAAACTCCTTTGTCCCAGGAAGGAGACACTCCCGAGAAGCCCAGAGTGTATGCTGCTCTGCCTGTCCACCAGCCTAGGAGGACCCCAAACCCCACACTGCACAGAGGAAGAGTCAGAGACCAGGAAGGCCAATGGGCTGCCCCAGTGGACAAATTAGTGAGCCCTAGCCTGGACCCCTAACAAAGACCACTAAGAGGTCCGGACATCTTTTGGGAGTCACCTGATGATGCATCAGAGATAAATAAACCTCATATCTACATTTTGGAAATAAAAATGTCTCAATGATCAATGTGTTAAATGAGAAAATTAAAATATAAGTGAATGTTCAACTGATAATATTTCACATTGAACTATGAAATTCAAAAACCATGAATCAGCTTGGCACCTGTAACACAGTTGTTACAGTGCCAGCCACATACACAGAAGGTAGCAGGTTCAAACCTGGCCCAGGCCAGCTAAAACAACTGCAAGAACAACAACAAAAAATAGCTGGGCGTTGTGGCAGGCACCTGTAATCTCAGCTACTTGGGAGGCTGAGGCAAGAGAATCACTTAAGCCCAAGAGTTTGAGGTTACTGTGAGCTGTGACGCTACAGCACTCTACCCAGAGTGACATAGTGAGACTGTCTCAAAAAAAAAAAAAAACTAAGAATCATGAATGAATATATTAGCAAGGAAAACATAAAAATTAATACTTTGGCTATCGTTTCAAGAAATTAGAAACAAAATTACAAATTACTCCAGAAGAAAGCGTTGGTAAGGGAATAATAATAAGTGGCATGGGGAGCGACTAATGAGTACAGAGAAAAGGGGAGGTGATCACATTAGTAATCCCAGCTACTCAGGAGGCTGACCCAGGAGGACCACTTGAGCACAGGAGTTGAGACCAGCCTGGAATATATAGCAAGGCCCCAATTTAACAAAAAAGAAATTTAATGGAAAATTCAATAAAGCCGAAGAAATTTATTTATTTATTTATTAAGACAGAGTCTCACCAGGTCGCCCTCCATAGAGTGCCCTCACCTCATATCTTACAACAACCTCAAACTCTTGGGCTCAAGCAATTTTCCTGCCTTAGCCTCCCAAGTAGCTGGGACTATAGGCACCCCCGACAATGCCTGACTACTTTTTCCATTTTTAGTAGAGACAGGGTCTCAATCTTGTTCAGGCTGGTCTCAAACTCCTGAGCTCAAGGGATCCTCCCACCTTGGCCTCCCAGAGTGCTAGGATTATAGGCATGAGCCACTGCACCCACCTGTTTTTGATATGTCTTTGTTATTTATGGCAGGTAAGGGTAGCTTAATTTTTAATCAATCCATATAACTCAATATATTCAGAGAATAAATTTTCTTTTTTTGTTTTTTCTTTTTTATGTTTTCATGTAATTTTTAATTAAAATCATAACTATACACATTTATGGGGTACAACAGGATGATTTGATTTATAATGTGGGATGCTTAAACTGACTAACAAATCCATCACCTCACTTATTTTTTGTGGTAGGACATTTTTTACTCTTACTTATTTTGTATGGTGCACATTAGGTGAGATCCTACCGATCGCCACCCTTCCCCTTTCTCTCTTCTCCTCTCCTCCTTCCTAGACTATATTTGTGTTTTATGATTCGCATGAGTGTTTAAGTGTTTATAGATTGGTTTCATAATAGTATTGAGTACATTGGATATTTTTTTTTCCATTTTGAGATGTTTTACTAAGAAGAACGTGTTCCAACTCCATCCAAGCAAACATAAAAGATGTAAAGTCTCAGTCTTTTTATGGCTGAATAGCATTCTATGTTATGCATATGCCATAATTTGTTAACCCATTCATGGGTTGATGGGCATTTGGGTTGCTTGCCTGACTTAGCAATTATGAATTGGGGTGCAATAAACATTCTGGTACAAATGTCTTTGTGACAAAATTATTTTTGTTCTTCTAGGTAGATATCTAGTAATGAGATAACAGGATCAAATGGAAGGTCAATTTTTAGTTCTTTGAGGATTCTCCATACTTCTTTCCATAAAGGTTGTATTCGTGTACAATCCCATCAGCAGTGTAGAAGTAGAAGTATTCCCTTCTCTCTGCATCCATGCCAGCATCTGCAGTTTGGGGACTTTGTGATGTGGGCTAATCTTACTTGAGTAAGGTGATATCTCAAAGTGGTTTTGATTTGCATTTCTCTGATCATTAAAAACGACAAGCATTTTTTTCATGTATTTGTTGGCCATTCGTCTGTCATCTTCAGAAAAGTTTCTGTTTAACTTTCTTGCCCACAAAGAAATGGGGCTGTTTAATCTTTTCTTATTGATTAATTTGAGTTTTCTGTAGATTATAGTTATCAGATCTTTGTCAGAATCATAACATGCAAAAATCTTCTTCCATTCCAAAGGCTGTTTGCTTTAGTTGTAGCGTCCTTAGTGGTACAGACGCTTTTTTTTTTTTTTTTTTGAGACAGAGTCTCACTTTGTTGCCCCAGTTAGAGTCCTGTGGTGTCATAGCTCACAGCAACCTCAAACTCTTGGGCTCAAATGATTCTCTCACCTTCACCTCCTCAGTAGCTGGAACTACTGGTGCCTGCCACAACACTGGGCTACTTTAGAGATGGGGTCTCACTCGGGTTCAGGCTGGTCTCAAACTCCTGAACTCCACCCACCTTGGCCTCCCAGAGGGCTAGGATTACAATGTGAGCCACCACGCCCAGCCTACAGAAGCTTTTTAGCTTGATCAAATCCCAGTTATTTATTTTTGGTATTGTTGCAATTTCTGGGGGGATGCGGAGGTCTTCCTCATAAAAATATTTTCCGAGGCCAATATCTTCAAGTGCTCTCTTCTAGTATTCCCTGTACTCTCTTCTAGTATTTTTGTAGTGGTTCGAGCCTCTCCTGGGCCTATAAACAAAGAGAATAATTTTATTATTATTATTTTTATTGCTTTAGAGACAGAGTCTCACTTTATCGCCCTCGGTGCCGTGGCATCATGGCCCACAGCAACCTCAAACTCCTGGGCTTAGGCCATTCTCTTGCCTCAGCCTCCCAAGTAGCTGGGACTACAGGCACCTGCCACAACACCTGGCTATTTTCTTGTTGCAGTTTGGTTGGGGTGGTTCAAACCTGCCACCCTCGGTATATGGGGCCAGCGCCCTATCCACTGAGCCACAGGCACTGCCCCAAGAATAAATTTTAAAACACATCAGGGCAGAGCAGGATGGTAAATCAGGAAGAACCTTAGGCTGAGATCTCCTAGATCAACTGAGAAATAAGAGTTTGTTGGGCTGTATTTGGTGAGGAAATTTTGCCTGGACCTGCAGCTCAGGGTGTGCTGTGAGGCGGCAGGGTGCTCGTTGATATGTGCGAACCAGAGCACCAGGCAGAGTTCTGACACACTAGGCAAGTCTTGAACAAGCCACTGGCAGGAGCCCTGAAGTCCAGGTAGCGAGGAAGCCTTGTTGCAGTTTTCAGTTCTTGGGGAAAATGCATTGAGTGGATAGCCTGGAAGAGTGGGTGCACCCAAACAGTACATAGCAGCCAGATTTGAGGGCTCGTTGAAGCGGATTTGCCACCAGTTTGGCAGCGGTACAGCCATTCTGGGAAGGTCTTGGCAGAAACCAGTCAGACATTATGGAAAGGTCATGAGAAGGTCGTGAAGGCGGGCCTCCTACAGGGACATAGCCATCTTAGGTCTGTCTGTTGGGATTGGACCTCCGGTTGTGACAGGCTCAGGGACTCCTGCACCCCACAGGAACTACTGTCCGGGACATGGTAAGAGCTACCTCTGAAGGAGTCTGGAGAAATCTGAGTTCCCAACTTGGTACCACCTGAATTCTGAGGAAATAATCAGGCGATTATTTCCGTGGACATTAAGTTGGTGATCAGGCCTATGCCTAGGACCTAGAGAGAAGTTATCAGCTAATGTTGTCCATCCCCTAAAACTACAGTGCCACCTGATATCCCAGCTATATATTGTAACACAAATACATTCCTACTAAAGTCAGACCCTCCCGCTACATATATATATGCTTTTATGTATATATGTGTATATCTAATGAGGTTTTAAATTTTTCTTATTTTTCTTATTGTTAGTATTTTTTTCTTTCTTTTTCCTTTTTTATTAAGTGATATACACATAGATCATGAATACATTTATGTGTATGTGGGGTACAGTGTGTTGATTTTTTTATACAATCTGATGTGCTTACATCACCAATCAACATAGCTTTTGCCTCATTTACGTCATTATTGTGTTAAGACATTTATGTTCTACACTTGACAGACTTGACTTGTACCTTTGAAATACGCTCCATAGGTGTGGTCCCATCATTTACCCTCCCTCTACCAAACCTCCCCCTTCCCCTCCCTTCCCACTCCATTTCTCTCCTTCATCCTGGGCTATAGTTGTGTTCTATCTTTCATAAGAAAGTGTGAGTATTTGAGTTTTACGGTCTGAGAGCCTGAAGACATCTGGAGAACACTTAGAGAACTAAAAATTGACCTGCCATTTGATCCTGCAATTCCTTTATTAGGTATATATCCAGAAGACCAAAAATCACATTACAACAAAGATGTTTGTATCAGAATGTTTACTGCAGCCCAATTCATAATTGCCAGGTCATGGAAGAAGCCCAAGAGCCCATCGATCCATGAATGGATCAATAAACTGTGGTATATGTACACCATGGAATACTATGCAGCCATAAAGAAAGATGGAGACTTTACTTCCTTCACGTTTACATGGATGGAGCTGGAAAATGTTCTTCTTAGCAAAGTATCACAAGAATGGAAGAAAAATTATCCAATTTACACAGCCCTATTATGAAACTAATTTATAGCTTTCATATGAAAGTTATAATCTAATTATAGCCTAAGAATATGGGCAGGGGGGAGGGTGAGGGGAGGGGGGAAGTGGATGGGTGGAGGGAGGGTGATTGGAGCGATCGCCTCTGTGGTTTATCTTACAAGGGTACAAGTGAATCTTTCTGAAATTAGAATATAAACATCTTAACACAATAACTAGGAAAATGACATAAAGGCTATGTTAACCAGTTTGATGAAAATAATTCAAATTGTATATGAAAATGCCACACTGTACCCCATTATTGCATTAATGTACATAGCTATCATTTAATAAAAAAAAAGAAAAGAAAGTGTAAATATAAGTTGGTTTCACAGAAGTACTGAGTACATTGGATACTTTTCCCTCCATTCTTGAGATACTTTACACAGAATATGTTTCAGGTCCTTCCATGTAAACATAAAAGAGGTAAAGGCTCCATCTTTTTTAAGGCTGCAT